CCATATGGCATGAGGTGTCTGAAAGGTCCGAGGGCTGGCGTGAGGACGTGACAAGAGCGAGGACTCAGCTACAAAGCATGCTCAGAAATAAGTAGGTGCGATAGCAGTTGATCAAGATATGAAGTTTTATTGTTTGGGTGAAAACGTAATAGATCATAATTTACGCACTTTTGCCTTTCTGGTGAGAGTCTATCTAGAACGCGTGAACATGCCTCGTAAATGTTACGTGGTCACAATGTCACTCGATTCATTCAGTTACCTATTTCGACAGGCTGCAAATGACATGCCGGTAAATGGCAAACAATTTGGTTAGAAAGGTCGAAAAATCAGTAAGTAGTTGGCCCTATCCCACCAGGTCGTCTCGCCATTGATTTTCAACAGCGCATACCCGACAGAAAAGTGGGCTGCTAACGTCATATAGCCATCGACCGGTTGCTGGTGGGGATCGCACGAGTGCAGCGTTTTTCGGCCCTTCTGCACTGTCCGACCGCTCGGCAGGTAAACGGTCGCTGGCTGCTAATATGCAAACATGGGGCTAAGTCACTGTCATATTATTCAGACGCGAAGCTCGCTCATTTGAATCAAGCTTACGGACTTATAAAGTAAGCGTCTTCAGTTCAGTTTTTACGGTAAATCGTGCCCCTGAAAATGCGAATCTATAAGATAAATTTTATTTCAACTTTAAAAGTCATGCACCACAGTCCACATTTATATAATTTTTTAGATGTAGCCTGACCCTGTAGGTACCTACAGCTTCGAAAAATGGACCATTAATTTGGGCAATGGATAATTAACATGTTTGGACATACATGGCGCCAGATTCCGAACGTCCGCTTGGGGGCAGATGTCGCGCCAATTTATTTGTACTCATGGCCGCTAGATGTCTCTTAAATCGAGCGCCGTAATGATGCTGTGCCGCACAACACGACAGCTCCCAGATAAGACCCCTGTTGGCCTGGCCCGTCTTGTCTCACCCGGGCAATAGAAAATTGTGGATTTGGAATTAATGGCCAGAGGAAATACCGACTTGTCCTTAGGAGATATATCTCGTTCCCTAAGACTATATAATACAAGACAAGAATAGATTACAGAGTGCTTTACCTGAATAATTTGATATACCATTTCGTAAAAAAACTATTTGCACATCGCCTTGATCCGTACCAACTTATCCCGTCCGTCTCAGCTATTAGCCGTTTTCACGACGGGCTATCCGGCGAATGCACCTGATTTGACCAAATCTGCACCTAATTTCTTTTACAGCAAATATCTTCATTTTATGAATTTACATATTTCAGTGTTTTAATCGATGATGCTCTCTGATAATATGACAAAACAGGCATATAAGCAATTAGTGCAACCCTAGCTGATAGCTGCTAAGAGACACACTGAACCTGATTTGACCAGATCTGCACCTAATCTGTACCAGATGTGCACCAAATGTGTACCAGATGGCCGTCGTGAAAACGGCTGCAGTCCACTTCTTCATAATGTGTGTGGGTAGGGATGGGATCCCGTGTTTCACTCATCTCAGCTGATTTACCTACAGGATCAATCGCTTACAAGGCTTGTATTTTGAAGAAGAAAAAAAAAACTAGGGTGAAAGGCATTTTCAATGGATCGGTCTAGTTCCGATAGCTCATTTTGAGTAGGCGACTGGCATCAGGGTTCCCCGAGCTTCTACTCACCCCCAGGAGAGGTCGCTGGGCTTCTTAATTCCGTAGGTGAAGTTCCACTTGGCCGCCATCACCTGCAGAGCGTTGAAGTCGATGGAGGGCTGCGGGATCAGCCGGCCGTCCTCGGTCTCCTCATAGTCCACGAACGGTACAAACGGCAGCACCGAACAGGTCAGGCGGTGGCCGTGGAAGTCTGCGAACTGGTCGGCGAAGAGCGGCCGCAGCAGCTGCAGGCCCTGCTCGGGAGACCAGTGGCCGGCGCGCTGCAGCCGCGGCCCGCCAGCGTCACAGTACAGACAGCGCACCGTCACGTGCGCCGTGCCGTCGGCCCGCTCCGAGATGACGGCCACGTTCGGCCGGTCGCGCAGCGGACCGAACAGATCGGCCGCAGGAGCGCCGGTCGTGTCGTGGAGGAGGAAGTACTCGCGCCGGATCACCACCGTCTTCTGCTCCTCGACGGCGCGCAGCGTGCGGCCGATCAGCGAGGAGATGTTGCCCCAGAAGACGTGCGTCAGGCAGGGCAGCCGCAGCACCTCGGCGTAGTAGTTAGTGTTGGGCGGCGGCGCCGGCAACTGACCGGCACCCAGCTCCGACTCGAACTGGAAGTTCATCGAGGAGAACTGGCGTCCGTTGAGGTCGCGGAGCCAGGGCGCGGCGTCTTCATTGGAGAAGGTGAGCACTGAGCAGTCTCCGGTGTGTCGAGCTAGGATCTCCAGCAATGGCGGTACCACGGTGCCGGCGGAGCTGGCTGCCAGGCTCAGCAGTAGGAGCAGCAGCAGCAGCAGCGGCAGCAGGGGCCGTGCTCGCAGAGATGAAGACGTTACCGGTCGCGGGGTGTCTGCTCCGCCTGCGCCTCTCCCGGCCTCTGAGGTATATGGGAGTGAAGAAGGTGCTCGCCGAGGTCTATGAGTTTGGTGAAGGCCGTGTGAGCGCCCACCACAGCTGGAACTGCTTCCAGAATTCACCCGATTCGCCCGGGAGCTACGCATATTTTAAAATTACGGCAACAAGTTACATGGACGGGCAAAATCATGTGAAACAGACCCCCAACAGGAATTTACGCACAGTGCGAGGAATGTTTAGGAACTTTTGCAGCCTAGTGAACATCGTTCCTATTTCGTTTTTCTTCATACTCATGTAATATCACGGAACGGATGATCAAAAGACAACCACCGATATTCCCCAAACTCAATTGTGATGATATCGCCACTCGCTTGCTGTGACGCGATAACACATCCGCCGTGCGACTTCAACGCAACTTTCAAAAACTCCTCACAAATCGCTTGCTATTTCGCTACGATACACCTCTGATAACGAGCATGGGCCAAGCCAGCGTCCGCACTCGCCCCTCGCGGTAAACACCACCCTGTGACCCGGAGTGCCGGCACGACCCCGCCGCCGGACGGTGTCCGACTGACCAGCTCTGCACGGAGCGTCTGCCGACAGTCGGCGAGGTACAGACGGACCGACGACGGGGCGCGCAGACGCGACAACCGCACCGCCTAGACGGAACTGTAGCACCTCGAACCGTGACAGTCCCCGTATCGGACGGGCCTCCCCGTGTGTGTAGAAACCTAGGAACCCTCTAAAGGGAGGTGGTTGTCGAAAACCGATGAGCCCGGCTACCCTTTTCGGAGTTATGTCGATTTTATGCGTGGCGCCAACAAACGAACCGTAGAAGAGGGTGTTAAATGAAGTCACCTAAGCAAACCTCATTGCATGAGCCAGCGGCTGTATACTGCACAGTGCACAGCTCAGAGCTCCATCCCATTCTGCCGGGCGACGGCCCCGTCCCGACCGACGGCGGTATTTACAAACCGCGGCCTTGAGCCCGCAGCTATTCGTGATGCAAATTTCCACAAATAGGGTCCACGAACCGCGCCGGGAAGCTGTCCGAGTCAAAAGGATGCATGACATTAGGAACTGATTCCATGCTCGACTTCGTGTCTGCGAACCAGCCATCAACGATCTTCACTGATAACTGCTCTCTCAGGCCGTTCCGACACTTGACAGTCAGCTGAAGGAGCATTATCGCGATAGCCGACAGCTCTACTGCGCTCGACGCCCACGGCCAGGGAGAGTTCATAGTCGGCACTTCAGTTCATATCGGGCGTGTCGTGCAGGGGTTGTGTGCCTGCCTACTCACATCTCAGTTGCCTGACGACGCCGGTCCTGTGTGGTGGCATCAGCGTTCATAGCTGGTGAAGCCCAGGCCATTGTTACATAACAGGAAAACCAGCCAGCACTTGTGCACATCACTCATCAGGAGCGGCGGTCAGCACTGTGCACATCAGGAGCGGCGGTCATGTGGCTCCCGCTCGTAGCGCTCCTGCTCCTGCTGCTCCTGGTATGGATCAGACGACCGCAGCGGCCCGACCGATTTCCGCCAGGTACGTGGATCGGGGCGTTGTAATAAAACCCACTTCTTCGCCGCATCTTTGTCAATGCAAACGTAGTTCTGACAAATACTTATGTCACGTAAGTAAAGTTTTTCACCACATTCTATCTAAAAAATCACTTTGTTCACAATTGTACCGTCCGTACAGCCAGCGTCGGAGATGGAGAGGGGAGGTCTCTTTAGTGTTTGGGGGAGGGGGGGGGCGAGACTTCTGGGAAAATGACCCTGCATAGACACCTCACGCATTGCTATTTTGCATTGCAGGTCCGGCACCGTTCTTGATTTTCGGTAATATTGACTTCGTCAATGAAACCAGGAAGGGCAACATCAGACCGCTTATTGCCAAGTGCCGAAAAGAGTTTGGTGACATTTTCGGCATTCTGCTGCCTACCGGACAGCGGGCCGTTCACCTGGTCAACTTCGACCTGATCAAGGAGTCGTGCGCGATGCCGGAGTTTTCGGGCAGGCCGTTCCTGTTCTCCGCTCTGGTGCGCACCTATCAGCAGAAGCTGGGCATCATATTCAACGAGGGGCCCACCTGGAAGGAGCACCGTCGCTTCACGCTGAGACACCTGAGAGATCTCGGCTTTGGCAAGCAGTCCATGGAGGGTGTGGTGCTGGATGAATTCGAGAATCTCGCTCAGGAGATGGAGAAAAAGATCGACTCACCGTTGACCATCCACAGCGACCTCTTTAACATCACGGTCCTCAACGTCCTCTGGCAGATGGTGGCCAGCAGAAGGGTCAATCCCGACAGCCCTGACGGAAAAATGCTGCTGAAAATTGTGAACGAGCTGTTCCAGCTGGTGGGCCCGCGCAGTCCGATGAACCTGGCGCCGTGGCTGCGCCACTTTTTCCCCGAGTGGAGCGGGTATGCGCCGCTGGTTCGCCACCGCGATACAACCGTCGCCATGCTGGACAAGGTGGTCGCCGAGCACCAGCAGACGCTGGACCGCTCCAGTCCGCGCGACTTCATCGACGTGTTCCTGATCGAGATGGAGTCGGAAGACGCCGAGGCGCGCCAGTTCAACGCCCGCAACCTCATCATCGTAAGCATGGACCTCTTCTTCGCCGGCATGGAGACCTCGGCTACCATGCTGCACTGGTCCGTCCAGCTGATGGTGATGTACCCGGACGTGCAGACGCGCGTGCAGCAGGAGCTGGATGCTAAGCTGGGCGGCCGGCTGCCCTCCAACGGCGACCGGCCGCAGCTGCCGTACACGGAGGCCACGCTGATGGAGGTGAGCCGGCGGAGCAGCGTGCTGCCGCAGGCCGTGCACAGCACCACCTGCGACACCACGCTGGCCGGCTACAACATCCCCAAGGACACCATGGTGCACATGCACATGCAGGAGGTGCACATGGACCCCGAGTACTGGGGCGACCCGGAGGCCTTCCGTCCGGAGAGGTTCCTCACGGCCGACGGCGCGGTCCGACACGACGAGCGCCTCATCCCGTTCGGCACTGGCAGGAGGTCCTGCCTGGGCGAGACGCTGGCGCGCATGGAGATCTTCATGCTGTTCGCGTGTCTGATACAGCGGTTCCGGTTCGCAGCCGTGCCCGGCCAGAAGCTGTCGCATGACACCGCGTTCGGAGTTGTGCAGACGCCCAAAGAGTTTAGTGTTACCTTCACCAAACGCGATGGCTCACAATCGAGCTAAGTACACTGGAGCAGAAACGGAAGACACGCTCGATGGCACTATGAGCTCTGTGAGCACAGCTTGCTCTTCAAATGTGGTAGCAACCATAGCTCCTCTTAAATCCTACTTCTCATAACCACTAATATGTGCACTACCTGCTATCTTCTCTTTATCTCGTCAAAAATAAATATGGATCCATTAGCGGTAGTACTTCTTGCCACGCCATCCTCGACACTCTGGTTCAAACCAGGATATGGTACCATTCAGCGCAAAATATCGCAAAATAATAAATATAATAATAATGACATTCAGATAAAAACTATGTAACCATGAATGACATCACTTGCATGATTGGTGACCCGTTATAAAGCCACCATATCGACAGTTCGAGCAAGAACATCCTTAGTGTCAAATTTTTCGAAGTTGAGATTTTTATACCATTCGACTCAGCTCGACGAGCTGAGTCGAATGGTATCAGGTATGAACATCTCAATTTCGAAAAATTTGACACTTAGGATGTTCATTGTTCTTGCTCGAGACTGTCGATATAATGAATGATTTTCGACGGACTATCAATGGCCATCTGCAGCCCATCGCTGTGAGGGCGAGGAGCAGAGTTGTACGACGGACATTCTACTAACACTGCCTTGCCGAACCACCCCACTTCCGCGGGTCTTTGGAGAGCCGAAGATCCCCTGAGGTACAGGACTAGAGCGCTATCCATGCATAGCTTTGGCAAATCGATCCAATCCGATTTGTTTCCGTTCTAGACTGTAATGCCTATTACTAAGCTTGTAACAGAACTACAATATCACAGTGCATTTATTATCGCATTCCCCATTTGCTAATGCATGTGATCTTCTCAACACAAACTAAGGTAATGACACACTCAGAGCCGCGATGTCGGGCCAATCTGTCACGTAAGCCAAGACAGACAGATCCTTTCTACAACACTTGTACCGGAACGATGAAAACAAGCTCAAATGTACGACGCGACTATGAATAAAACATTTCAATGAAATGATACTGCGTGATGCGATGGTAATTGTACACTGATCAAACGTGATAACATCATACGTAATGCCAGCTCACGCTCAATTTGCATAGCGAAACACACGAGCTTTCAGACTCCTTTTACTTCCTTTTCCGACCTTTCCGCTTTCCCTTGCAGTCCTGTTTTTCGATGATTCTGCAAAAGAGGAAATGAACAACTTGAGTGATAATCTTAATTATGAGTAATTTACCTAATAAAAAATCGGCCAGCCAAAACAGCCAAGCTCTGCGGCTACCAATTCCACTTAATACAGAATATCTGGCGACACGAATTTCAGCACATCGTAGTGCTAGTGATACAACTGTTTGTCCCCAACCTTTGATTGGTATGGAAACGACGTTGACAAATGAATGGCAAAGTTTGATATTTAGCAAAGACGCTCTCGTCAGTTCATCTCGCACTCTAGAATGATTTATTAATCGCACTCAACTCCTATCATTGGTTCAAACTGCAAACAAAGGAAGCAGTATAGGCAGGGGATTGGAACAACGTGTCTGGGTGGGCCGTGGGGACGGGGTACAGCTGACTACAGAATGATATTTCACTCCTCAGGAGCTATCAGCGGACGGGGTACAGCTGACTACAGAATGATGCTCCACTCCTCAAGAGCTATCAGCTGAGAAGTGAGAGGAACTCTAAATTGTGCCGTTCATTACGCAATCACATTTAAAGCGTGAATAAGGTGTTCACTGCTGTCAACTCGATCCGTGTGATGCGGCACAGCCTACCACTCCAGGCAACTGATTACCTGTGAAAAGTGGAACATCATTTTGTACTCAACTGTACACCGCGTACCCACCGGTACATCTGAGGTATGTACACCGCGTACTCACCGGTACTTGCTGGGGTACATCTGCTGCTGCACCATCTCGCCCAGCAGGCCCTCGGCCGCCAGCATGGACAGGTAGGTGGTGATGAACGGGTCGTAGTCGTGCGTGCGCCGACTCGCCTCCACCTGACGGGCAGTCACAACATAGGATGGACCTCGCACGGAGGCAAGACAGCCAGTGTACGAAACTCAGGAGACAGGCGTTAAAGGACGCATATTTCATTTAACATATACCGCATTTTGGAATGACTATGCAGCATTCCACAGCGATGCACAATGTAAAGTGACATATATGCGAAAGGCATTTCGTGCCACAAATGCCTTAGGGTGTAAGATATCCGAATATGAAGAAATTCTGGTAGCAAACAAAAGACATACGCAGCTAGTTGGCGCGCCACTGACTGTCTCGTTCCACACATCGCTGTGGCGAACTGACCTGGTACTTTTTCCTTTTGTCGAGTTCGTCGCGCAGTCGCTCCTCCAGCGCCCGGGCGTCGTGGTGGAGCGCCGTCTGGACGGCGGCGCGCCGGCCGGCCGGCCACTCGGCCGCCGCCTGGCGCAGCTCCGAGTCGGAGCCGGCGCCGCCCGGCTCGCGCGCCAGGTGCGCCCGCAGCTCGGCCGAGAGCGGCCGCGGCGGCTCGGCGCCCGGCCCGCCGCCGTCGGCCGGAGCCGCCGCGGAGTCCCGCTGACCCAGCCGGTGCAGCCACCAGCTGGCAACAGGCAGGGGTGAGCAGGTCAGGCGCCGCAGCTTATCGGCCAGCGCGGCTCAGCTTACGAAATAAACAAGAAGATGGCACTGGATTGGATAAGGGCAGAGCATTTAACCATGATAATTCGACCCTAATTACGATGATTAACATAGATGACAATGGACAGACAAGAAACAGTTCCCAAAAAGGTTTCGCAAGGAATCCAGAAGTACACATATTATATGCACATCTAATAAAAATCGTAACGCCTGCAGAGTGAAGCACAATAAAACCAAAATAAGTGGCATATATTTAGCAATATACTCGTCATACATAGCCGGCGACCTCTGGCGACCCTACTCCCTCTCTCTCGCTCGCGTTGCTCACATGTCGTCCTTGAGAAGTTTCAGTCGTCGTGTGAGGGTGATGCGTCGGTCCGAGACGACGCTCATCAGGTTGAACCGAATGTCGTGGTAGGGCTGGCCGCTGGTGGCGATACCCAGTCGGTCCGAGATGACACGCCGAAACTTGTCAGTCCACTCCTCGTCGGCACCCCACGGGCCTGGTCGGTCAGGGCGGGATGTCACAGGGAGGCGAACAAGCACGGACAACACGGGAGATACGAAACTTCCCGTCAGGCCTACATCACAACGATAGCATGCGAACTCAATTACGCACAAACAAACAGCTAGGTAGATAAAAAAAAAATCCAAGGGAATAAAAGGAATATCATTTAAGGAATAAATATGCATAGTGCATAAAAAAATATTAACAGTCATACAGAATGGCAACCGTCTCTGACGCTCCCCTGCCTTTAATCAATGGTCAACTAACTAGATTCCAGCCACTCAGTCACAGACTCCCGGCTCGAAGCACATGTCCCCGCTCGGCCGGCCTGCCCGCCGACTCACCGTGGTCGATCGGGCCCGGCTTCAGTCCGTCCAGCTCGAACAGGCGGCCGTTGATGGGTACGTAGCTGACGTAGTGGAATGTCTCGGCGGCCGAGCGGCCCACCGGCAGGCCGACCATGGGCCGCTCCTGCACGCGGTGCGCCTGCTGCGCCGCGTGCGAGTTGTGCGCCCACGCCAGTTCCGCCGTGTTGCCAATCGCCAGACCCTGGAGGGAGAGGGACAGGTCAAGGGTAGGCAATCATCACTGTCACTTGTCTAGGTGCTACTACGAGTATGCTATTTCAAAAATGGTAGACCAGGGACCGTCCACCGTACGCAACCGTGACTTCAGAACCGCCCGCTACCTTGTACCCATCCCATACCCCCACGCCTGCTGCACACATCGCACACACCGCACTCAGCAGTTTGCGGTGCCCGTGAACATCCCTCAGTCCTGCAGATGCCCGATCCTGTACAAACCGCATTTCAAACAAGGATATAGGCAATGAAGCATATTTGACCAATAATATTGCTGACCAATACTAAAAACGACTAGCGTAGAGCCTTACCTTGTTTTCGGGGTTCATGCCCTCCACGTGGTGTTTGAAATTTGTCAGCGTCGGTCCCAGGTCAACGTCGCAGCAGTTGAGCAAGATCGAGACGAGCGCGTGTGTCGCACAGCTATTAGGGACGACCTGCAGCAGAAACCAGCACTTAGAGCGGGATATGATCGGTGGTAGTGCAGGCATTACATACTATCAACATTGTAGTATGATTTCTGTCACAAAACGATAGCTACAGAAATAAGCACTAAAGAACGATCACCTTTGGAGAATATTTCACTCGTCCTTTTCACAAACCTGTTGCGCAAAGAATATGCTGTTGACCTCTTCCTCATCCATGAGGAAGCTGTCCTTGTCGCTGGTCTGCCTGCGGGCGCGGCGCTCCTCCATCCAGCGGAACAGCAGGATGAAGCCGAACGTCTTCTCGTCCGCGGACTTACTGATGTCGTAGATCTCCTCCACCTGGCGACCCTTGACGCCAAAGTCCTCCAGCAGCAGCGTGAACAGCCCTGGACAGTGAACGTGCAACAGAGCTATCATCGCGGGGGACTCACAAAGGGACTTACCGCTTAACCCTCACACTTACAGGGGAGGGGGTCGAACGGAAAACCTCGTTTTTTCGCGAATAACTCGCGAAAAAAAAAACGGCCGATCACGATAAAACTTTCGGCGCCCTCGAGTTGATGAATTTTACATATATTCTGCAACCGTCATGAACCTGATCCAACTGACATTTGACCTATTTCTTGTGACCATGTTTGGCCAGAATCGCGATTCGGCGAATGTCGGCTCACATTATCCGCGCGTTTCCTGTCTTTTTTTTTTGTAAACGTTCAAACATGTGAAATGATGCTGGTTAGTGGTTACATGCGTTATGGTGGGTGTCGAAGTCACGTGAAGGTCAGGTCAAGGTCACTGACCCTTGATGACGGTTCATTTAATGAGTTTTACATGTTTCTATGGTAGTTTTTGGAACTGATTAGTGATTTCGAATTTAGCGCCCACCTGAACATTTACGAAGTAGTTTCGGTGCCTCCGTATTCCGTAACATGTTACGAAGTTGTAAGTAGTGGTTAACGACACCTACAGCTGTGGATAGCTGGCATGACGCCTACTGGTTGACCTGACCTGATCCGACCTGGCCTCAGTGCATGAAGACATCATCTGTGATCAAACCTAACAAAAAATTTGCGATCAGCATCCCGAGAAAACCTATAACAGCCTCACTTTACGAAGGTCCCGATTTTCCCGACTTTCGGGTCAGCGACCTAACCTGAAAGATCAACCAATGACCCAGGACCTTGACATAAGGTATCATCGGCTTCCTCTCGTCATGGGCACGGGGCAACACAATCATTTTTTTCCACGAACCTCTGGCTTGATCAAAGGCCGAACAGCAGGGTATCCAACGGAGCCCCCCCCCCCTATATATAGTACGTATGTTAGACGCAGCTGGCGAGATACAAAAACAGGCGAGGGTTAAGGTTAATTTTCTGTAAATATCTAAAGAACTGAACAGAATAGATATCTTTCAAATTAAAATTAGCCAAACATGACGTCATTTCTAGCCAGTTTATGGAAGGTACCTCCCTAACCACGAGGTGTCAAATTGATGTACAGGAGGATACTGAAAGTTTCAAGCTGATTCATCCAGCAGCTTTGAGGAGATTGTAGAAAAATGGGAGGGGCTCTGTAGAGCTAACATGGCAGGTAAGATCCTCCAAATCATCAGCTGGTGCTGAGGTCAGCCTAATTAACCTGAACCATTGTATTTTAAGCTTTCCAAACCCAAGTGTGACATTTTGCACCACTTGATATGACAGTAGTATGTTCGCACCTACATTTTACCCTGCAACCATTATCTGAATTCATTACCATACCATTCTCTGAAGTTATTGCTGGACAAAGGGAAGATGCACTTAGCAGATGCAATAACATCACAAACTACTACCAAGTACCTAGTGTGGTGTAAACTGACCTGGGTCACTTTCCAACTCCATCCAGCCATCATAGAGATGACTCAATCCCAGCAGCATCATGAACACTGACCACTGAAGTTAAAAATCTCCAGAAACCTGAAAGACAAAGAACAAGTGTAAGTTGATCCTAAAAGTAGGTAAGTCATTTTTTCATCATACTGACAATCACAATATATTTAGAATAGTTAAAACATTTAAATGAAATGATGATTTTCCTATGAATAATAACTGACCAGTGGGGCAGACCCCTACTACCAATGCCCATGTGTAAGGAAGCTGTGAAACATCACTAGGGGCTTGCAAACTATCATCAGGATAAAGTATCACCAGGCTGTGTGCCAACTAAAGGCTGTCAGCCTCTATCAGCAAGAAACATTACCTCTTGGCACTTTGGCAGACCCTCTCAAGTCTCATGCATAGGTAGGGAATTGGGAGTGCAATGCAAGAAACTTGCAATGAGGTTGAAGAATTAGTACAGCCTTTGCCCATTACCTACCTATCATTAGAAAATTTTGATTCTAATCGACCAAGATGAACACACATCAACATCACCTGTCAGTGGCTATTGGGTCTTCATGAGAATGGGAACCCCAGGCCCAGGGTCCAGACCCATTTCTTTTTGCGACCTCAACTTCACCTCAGCTTATGTTATTGGCCTTACGAGGAAGGTGGAGGCTAAGGCAGCATTAGTATATATTGTGGTAGCATTTTAGGACTTAATTCAAAACTGTTTTAATGAAGTAAGGTAAAATATGTCAGAACATTCAGTACCGTAAAATGGGGTGTTAAGGGACAGTTTTGAGGTGTTTTGTTATATTACACTAGAAGGGTTGGAGATAGAAGCATCAAATTGTCAGCATTTTATGTGGAATTTGGTGCTTTACATGCCTGCCACATTTAAGTTTTTAAGATTTATACCTGCATATTATTTTTTATTATTTTTCATCACTGTCCCTTAGCACCCCAATGTGGGGTGTTAAGGGACACCTATATTATTCCAAGAAATGGTCATCAAATGCCCACAATTGGGGTGTGTAAGGGCACACAATTTATTTATTGAAATGTTTTGCATATTCTGTCACAAAACAAGTCAGGTTCATTCACCACTAATGACCTTTTTAGCCAATTACGTATAATGCAGTTTATGCTTATGGAAAATGTTCTAATTATAAGGTAAACAGAACCAAAAAGTAATCTTCTGTCATCAATAAAAACCCATGTTGAAGCTTGTCACTTGTCATTATGTTGCCCTCTTTGTTTTAGCTTTTTTATGATGACATCACATTTACTTACATCAGTCTCCATTGACCCATCATTGTAAAAGAGAGTGTTGAGATGTTTTGTTACATAACTTAAGATGTGTTAGAGATAAAAGCATGAACTTGCCAGCATTTTATGTGGAATTTGGTGTTTTCCATGCCTACTTAATTAAATTATATTTAGATATTATTTTTTATTTTTTCTTCCCTGTTCCTTAGCACCCCACATCCACCTCAAAATATGCATGTATCCGGAAAAGAGGAAGAGGATGATGAATGAATGGGTGGATTTGCACAAGTTTTTCAGGAAACATGTGCAATACATGTGACAATACACCTATGCATTCATTTTCCCTGTACACCCACTAGTTTATGTGGTACACACAGAGTTTTGGTGATGTTTCAATTTTGTGAAAATGTAGCATGATTTTCAAATCCATTTTTGAACCAAATCACTTGCATGAAAAACCATACCATTTTCTCCTATGGTCAAGAGCAAAACAGTGTCAACTACCACACTGAAGTTTTTATTGAACCTTCTCAAATTAGGAAGTTAATATGACTCAAAGTTTTTCCCATGCAACTGTCCCTTAACACCCCACTGTCCCTTAACACCCCATTTTACGGTATTAGTAGAGCAGACATCACATGTAGGTTTTCAGACCACGGAGAGGCGCCATGCGGCTATACCCGGAAATGCTTCTTTCTAACCAAACCAAACCAAAGTCAAACCAAAACAAACCTAACCTGACGACTGACGTAACCTTCAACCTGAAAATAACCTACAAACCTACAAACTTTAAACCTACAACACCTCTCCTTTCTTGGAAAACCTTTATTATGTCTGCTCTGCTAAAACCAATTGAAACTGATTACTGAAACAGAAAGGAAAAATCTGACATTTTTTGCAATTACCAATCTGCTATTTCTTTCGTCTAGCGCTTAAATGGGTATGCATGACATAAACGAACTTGAATTTAACTGCTGATCCAATGCATCATAATTCATTACGAAGGCAAGGCCTGTAACAATGACAACGGCAATGCCTTGGCCTGTATCAATATCGATCAAAGGATTAAAGGAAGACTGCCACCTTCAAAAAGTTTTCTCAGATCGGCCTATGATTTATTCCCTGGACAAAACAAAATTTTAGAATTCACCTGACAGAGTATCATCACGTGAATCGCGAAAAAAATTGTCGATTATCATACAATTATCAATCTTACAATTATCTTACAATTATCAATCTAGCGACAATGTTTACACATCACTAGACTTCAAGGTCATAAGATTATTACATTTTATTTGAAAAAGTAAGGTATTTTATGATTTACTAATATATGATTTCATAAGAAATTGGCCATGTTTAATTTATTTTGCATTTAAGTTCGTAAAACATTTAAAAATCATGGCTCATTTGGAATGGGTCTGGCCCATGTTAAACCCCATTTCCCACACTTTTTTGGAAAAAATGAACTACTAAATATATAAGTTTAACTTTTATTTTGACTCTCCAAAATTCTTCTCTGATCTCGAAACAATCAAAGTTTTGACATATATTTACCAAAAGATAAGAAAATTCATGTTTCAAAGTTATCGATAAACAGTAGAGATGTCGGTTTTCTTGGATTAAAAAAATGGCATCAAACTGAACTTTGGTCTCCGATTTCTCGCAAACGGGTCCGAATTTCGGAAAACCGACTTCAGTCTGGGACAGTCTGGGACATAGGTGGCTAAACTCTAGTGAAAACCGTTTTGTGGAAAAAAGGTGGCAGTCTACCTTTAAGGTTTTGATAGACAAAAATGTAAGAATTCTCAATGCTTACCGGTAAATCATGAAACTGCTAACATTATTCATCAACTCTTCACATAAAATTAAAAATGCAAAAGCTATCAAGCGAGCCCAAACAAGCAGCAGATCGTTGCGCGCGCGGCGCGCGAAACTGAAACTGCATGCATCAAGGATGCAAGAAATAACAATATGAAGTATTTGAAGCGCTGAAATTGTGCTCAACAGAAAGTGACGTAAAAAATGCTTATTTTTATTTTTCTCGCGGCTGCCACCAGCCCTGGCCACCAGCGGCCCAGCCAGGGTATATAGAACGCCTTACCACCAGCCAGCACCAGCATCCAGCGGTACGGTTATCTATAGGAATCTTGGGTATGGTATGGTATGATGAGAAAATATAAATGCCCTATAAACTAAAGCATATTAGCCGGTGTTACCGATGCTGAAAGCAATTGCATGAATGAAGGAGAACCTTTCTTTCTTTTTCATCCATGGCAATTGGGTATGAATGATGCAGCACCACTGTTCCCATTCCCATATTTAGGTACATTATCCTAGTCAAATCCTTTTCCTTACCGCTAGGCGCTAACCCTCTGATCCGGGCCGATCACCTTTATCCGACGAGACGGACAGCTCGCAGGCCGTGCTGATCGCTCTCCGATTGTGCCAGCTATCCAGTGACAGAGATAGACTTCCACTGCAACTTATAATTAACTCCCCTTTCGCCACACCCAACGCAACTACCCACGCCATCTCGACTTTCACTGCCACCAAGCGTGAAAATGGTTTTCAACTTTCTTACAAGTTTATTCCCGAATAGATGACACTCGATCCCTCCTGAAAAAAATTGGGATCTTCCAAACGTAAGTCCATGTTCATCAGCCGAAGCAAGTATACCCAGCTGCAACGTGTCGCTTTACACTATCTAAATTCTAAAATACAACATGAGCATTTCACTGACGCTGGTCAGTCCAACGGCTTATTTATATTCGCGAATCTGCTGCTGGTAGACAGTCATTCACTGCTTCCCCAATATGCTGCTACTAGCACGAAATTTAAGTTGACCGACATATTCGGACATAAAACTCAGACTCATTAGAGCCTCTTTGAGCCCATATTGAGTTTAAAAAAGACGAAATAAAGGGTAACATTATGCTTTGATCCTCACCTTGGGGTGACAGGAAACAACGTGTTTTTGGCTTATGTTATCAAATCTTGGAATGAATTTGGGCTAAAACTAGTCTGGGCTTAGTGCGAGCTACCTTTAACTTCATGCCAGTAACAGCATTTTCGAAAACGGCGAATGTATGTCTACCAGCAGGAAGCAGCGGATTCGCGAATATCGATCAGCTGCTAGATTGACCAGCACATAAGGCGTATTCTTTATCCAACACACTCTTCACAGCCGTATCAGGCAGAGATCTATAAGTACGCCCGTCCCCGGAACGCTTGGCTCAACTAACTCAGATAAGGCTCAGCCACGCAGGGCTACCACAGGCACCGCGCTCACCCGTGCCCTGGCACTGCGCTCGCCCTTCAACCCTCCACGATCCCCGCCAGCACCGTGTCGACCACCATGTAGCGGCGGTGCGACTCGTCGAGAGGCAGCAGCCCCACCTCGCCGGTGAGGCCCGAGCGGGTCGCCTCCATGAGGGCCATCACGCGCTGGTGCACCACCCTCAGCGAGGTGACGGTCACGGTGGTGCCGAGGAGCTGCTCGGCCGCCTCCCCGGCCAGCAGCGCGTGCAGCGGCTCGCCGCGGCCGCCGATGGCGTGCAGCTCCAGCGGCAGCGCCACACCGAGCGGCATCTCGGCGCGGCAGCGCACGCACCTATAGATCGGCTCCAGGTCCTCGTTGAGGTCCGTTTGGTCGGGCAGCGCGGCGCCCAGGTACTGCGTGATGCACTCTGGCTGCATACAGTTGGCCATCAGCAGCGGCCGCAGGCTCTGCGGCGAGGAGTAGGGCACGCACCAGCGCACCGCGCACCGGGTGCGGAACGTGCGCTCCGCCGGCTGGGCGGCCGCGTCCTCGAACGGCACCGGCGACAGGAAGGCGGCCGCCGTCAGCGCGTGCCGCCCGTCCGGCGACTGCGGCGGCGTGGCGAACCGCTCGCTGGCCGGCACCGAGGACGTCGGGCTGTCGAGCGCGACGGCCGGCGGGTCCGCCGTCTGACTGACCGCCGGCGGGTCCGCCGTCTCGCTGACCGCCGGCAGGTCGGAGGGTGTGTCGGTGAACTCCATGCTCTCTTGCTGAACCGGGTACAAGATCTGTAGGTCAGGGAAGAGGAGCGTCAGTCTGAGATTTGCTACATAATTTGATCGCATGGCAATTGGTAAAGCATATCAATGTACATGCTTTACGTACGGGCTTAAAAACGTTTCCCATCATAAGCAAAGAAATTTCATTACGAACAATGGCGGACACAGAAAGGCGGCCTTGAACGCTACGGGGGGGGGGGGGGGGGTGCATACACCAAAAAGCTTCTCCAATTTCCAAACACTCCTTCAGATTTCGATTCCTTACACATTGCTGTGCAGTTTAAAATAAACCTTTCCTCAAAAAGTTGTTTTATTTTCTTTGGATTTTCGAAGAAGCGTAAATTTTCGTCGATTTCGGACGCCACGGGGATGACGAAATTTTCTCAAAATGCCCCCCTCCCCCACCCCTGAGTTTACCGGTGATTATGAACTGAGGAAACATTTTAAACTAGGGGTCACACGAGCGAATATGACTGAGTAGAAATGTTGCCTGCACCTACAGACTCGTACAGTTACTCACAGACTCGGCTTGGCTGGCGGATTCGCTCTGGCTGCCCCCCGTCTTGGTTTCGGCCCGGTTGCTCTCGATGTCGACCCGACTGGTCTCAGTGTCGGCCACAGGCTGCTGGGGACAGGGCGCCCGCTGTTCAGGCGCGGGGGAAGGCGGGGTCTGACTCTCGACCGGCGGCGGCGCCTGCTCCCCGTCCGCAGCGGGGTTCGAGGCAGCCATGGCCTCAGATGCCTCAGTGACCTCCATGCTCTCTTGCTGATCCGGGTGCCAGCTCTGTCGGACAGGGAAAAGGCGCGTCCACAGTAAGATTCTCTACATAATTTGATCGCATGGTAAAGCATGCTACCAAGTACAAAGTATGGAGTTGAAAAAGCATTTCTGTTCATAAGGAAGGCTTTTGAACCAGGTAGTGTCAATCCCCAGCAGCTCGTTTTTTTTTTTTCTCAAGAAAATTGGCAATTAATGGAAGGAAAGAGTTGAGTCGGTAGTTGAACGGATTGGCAGGAAAACGGAATTGTAATTAGGGTGGACAAAGTTTCCATGTGGCAGGGATATCGGTGGATGAGTGCAGGAATTGACGAGTTGGGATAGCATGTAACCGATGGAATTGAAAAAGTTTAAAAATAAGAACGAATAGTCCAATAGTGCCTCGATTAGGTGAAGTACGCACTGATGAAATGATCTGATCAGGGGTGCTAAAACTGACTATGCACAGACGCAGCGCGCAAGCCCCTACTCTATGGAGGCAAGCAGGAAGTCGCGAGGGCGTAACCCGGGACAGAAGGTCCGCGGCGGGCCGGGGACCAACACTCACAAAGAAGCGCAGTAGCAGTTACTCACAGACTCGGTCCGGCTGGGTCCCGTCTGGGTCTGGCAGGTCCCGGTCCCGGTTTCTATCCGGTTGTTCTCAGTCTCGACCCGACTGGCTGCGGTGCCGGCCGCCGGCTGCTGAGGACAGGTCTCAGGTGCAGGGGCCGCCGGGGTCTGACTTTCCACCGGCGGCGGCGCCTGCTCTCTGTCAGCGGCGGGATTCGAGGCAGCCATAGCCTCCAGACGCAGGCGTATGTCGGACACATCGTCCGAGTCCAGTTGCAGCGGCCGCACTAACGGTTCGTCGGCACGCTTCAGCGACAGTGACATGGCCAACAGAGCGGTGTCCTCATCCTGCAGCACGTCGATCACACGCACCCGGAACAGCTGCACGAACCGGGCGCCGGCCTGGTGCAGCTCGCGCAGGAGGCCGGCACACCGGCGGTCCGACACGAGCACCGGCACGCGGTCGGCTAGCTCACGGAACACCTGTGTCTCCGACTCGGAGGGACTGCTGGGCATCGGAGCGTCCGGGTCGTCGTCCGGGTCATCCGGGCGGGGCTCGAGGCACGGCAGCGGACAGCGCGTGCCATCCTCAACACGGGCGAACAGCCGGCCGCCGATCTCATCCAGTGCCATCAGCTTGCATTTGATGTTGTACAGGCCGGGGCGGACGAGGTCTCCGATTTGGGCGTCCTTGGCGCGGCTGATCCGCTCCTGGTGTGAGTGCTCCAGTGCCCACCAGCGGCGCAGCCACTCTAGCCGGCGCCGCTCGGCGTCCGTCACCGTCGGCGGCGGGATGGCGGCGCCCAGCGGGGTCGCCGGATCGTGCAGCTCGCCCGAGAACACGGTCAGCGCCGCGCCGCGGAACACCCGCCCGTCCGGCCGGTTGCCATGTTTCTCGACCTTGACGTGTCGCGCGCGGAGGATGTTGCCCACCCGCAGGCCGTGGTCGCCGTCAGGCAGTGGCAGATCAGCCGGACTCTGGACAAAGCCGAACACGACAAAGTCGCTGCGAGGCGCGTCCTCGGCACAACAGGAAGGGTCCTTGATTACGACCATCACCATATACGAGCGTTGCGTGCGGCGAGGCGGCTGCGGCACGCCGACAATCACGCCCATCAGGTTAGGTCGCTGGTTGAGGCCCGGATCGTTGCGGCCTATGTCCATCAACAGAGTGTATGTGTCGGAAGGATCGCTCGCCGGCACACTGTTCATGAACACCGCCGCCTGGCTTTGCGTGCTGTCCTCCGATGTATCCATCAACTCTTCGACGGCGGTCGGCGGCGCCGGCGCCTCTGCTGCCTGTGGTTCAACAACGGGCGAGTCCGGCCTAGCCGGCTGGTCGGCGGTGCCAGAGTAGGCGGCGCGGGGTGGTGTGCTGGTGAACGCCGGCGTGCCGGCCGCGCCCGGCTCCTGGGCACTGACGGCGGGCTGCCGGGGACTGACGGTGGGCTGCCGGGGACTGACGGCGGGCTGCCGGGGGCTGACGGTGGGCTGTTGAGGACTGACGGCGGGCTGCCGAGAACTGCTTCTGCCGGCCGCGCCCGGCTCCTGGGCACTAGCGGCGGGCTGCCGGGGACTGATGGCGGTCTGTTGGGCACTTGCAGCGGCGGGCTGTCGGGGACTGGCGGGGGGCTGCCGGGGACTGGCGGTGGGCTGTTGGGGACTTGCGGTGGGCTTACGAGGACTGACAACGCGCTGCCGGGGACTGGGGGCGGCAGCCGGTGCCCCACGTCCGCAGTGCGCGCAGCCTCCGCGTCCGGTCACACTGATCCAAATCAGCCGTGCCCCGTCGCCGGGCCCCAGCTCAGCGCGGATGCAGCTAATCTCCGGGCACACGTCATCATCCTTCCAGACAAACTCGACTGATCGGTAGAGGCACAGGATGTCTCCCGCGTGCACCTTACCATCCACTCGTTTTCCCATTGTTCCCAAAATAAAGCAGCTCATTGGGAGCCCTTCCAATGACCCATCCATCCTTACTTTTCGGATAAAAAGTGTCTTGATCTTTGTCTTCTTATTAAAGGGAGATGTCGATATCACTACTGCGAGTGTCCAAGGTTCATCACTCCAGAGCTGCGACAAATCTGACATGCATTTCCTCAAACAACATACTGCTTTGTAATCTTCTTCCATCGTTGAGCCTGAAAAGGGCAGTTTGGTGTGATTAGAATAACATAAAGTCAGCAGCCTACAGCTGTCATCAAGTAATGAACTGAACGATTTCTTTGAAAGGCCGAGATATTGATAAGGGTGTCATCTCTCATGAGACACGATGCATGAGATATATTGCATATTTAGATCTTATTGCATTGGGCGCGGGTTAAAGGTCACATGTGACATGAGGTCAGGTCCGGTCACGCTTCCTCACCATTTAACGTAAATGGGGGAAACATGGAAACAGCGCCGGGAATGACCTAAGGCTGTCTCAAGCATACCAATCATGATTTCATACGCACCTTGCAAGTTCCGATGCTTCGCTTTTGCATTGTCGACCTAGCGTCACGTCATTTACGATGTTCCTAAGGTCATATGAGTTTTTCGTCAATAACTCCGTCAAATTGAGCTAGCGAGTCTGGAAAGCAATTCCTGGATTTGGAAAACCTGCTGAATCGAATGATGTGCTATATGACCTCCTTCGACTATCTTCGTGACCTGGGGCGCTCTGACCTGACCTTGACCCGAGGTGAACACCTTAGGCTGACCTCAATAGAACAAAAAGTATTCCATTCGAGACTCGAGTTCGACGCGCCTGAGCATGAAGAACACAATGGTGCCAAATTCGCGACTCTGCCACCATTTATGGCAAAACTAAAACCGAACCAGAGCCTTGGACTACTTGATCTGACCTTAGAGGTCATCGGCTGGCGGTTGGCCGGAGACCTTGAAATCGGGCACTTATCGCTGTGTCCCGTAACGGCGTACACGTTCGCTTTTTCTTCGAGGCTCTAGCTCAATTAGGGACGAAATGGCGAAGTGGGCCACACCAACCCCCCCCCCCCCTCGTCCAGGGCGTCATCTAAGCCAGCAATTTGGTTTGACTCAAATCCGTTTAGCCCCGGTAACCCCCGCATGCGAGAGCGCACCTGTTTATACATTTTTTTTCTACACATGCTGTGAAAATTTCAGACCGAGGTCGCTCAAGGTCAAGTCACCAGGTAACTTAAAGTGACCTCACCTCATAAAAAGTTTCAATGTCCGCCATAGCTACACCGGACACCGAGTGACCCATCGCTTTGAAACTTTCAGCGACCGATAAGAGCAACAATATGAATAAAATTTATACCTCGGAATTTCGATACCTACCGGGCGCCTAAGGTTAGGTCAATTTGCGACATGCCAAATAAAGTCAATGGGAGAAAATTGAAATGCGCCTCTTTTGGACGCACGTCGTTCTTAACACTCTCAAACATCGTTTTACAGGTAAACATGCCACACTAAGTCGATAAATTGCACCCGTGGGCCGTAAACCCTCGTTGTGCCCCTAAGGTCATCTCAGGTCATAACAGGTCCCCAGCAGTTTTTTTACAATAACTTTAAATAAAGACATGCTACCAGGACTGCAGAGTCGAAGAATTTTCGGTGACCCTGACTCCGACTCCAACTTCAAAAAACCAACTCCGACTCCGACTTCAGGCATAACTGTCGACTCAGACTCCGACTCCAACTTCGACTCTGCATCCCTGCCAAGTCTGAGGAGTCGATGGATTTTCGGTGACTCCGACTTCGACTCTGGCTCCTGCTTCTAAAATCGACTCTGACTCCGACTCCGACTCCGGTCAGACCTGTCGACTCCGGCCGACTCCAACTCCGCAGCCCTGCATGGTCAGGTCAAATACCTATTGTCAAAATATACCTGTTCGCTGTTCGTAATACCACTCACACAAACTTGTGACATCTTTCAAAATTGTTAGTTTCTCACAAGCTCTTCCCGGCGTACTCCCGGTCGAGAGTGAGAGGCGCGCGACAGGAGACGCCTGGCTGGGCGCCGCTCATGGATAGATCGTGGGATGAGTCTCCGACCCGTCTGGTCACGGCGAAACTTAGCAGGGAGGGTTCAGAGCACCTCGACGGCGGCCGAACGCCAGCGGAGCGCCGTAACTAATGGGTGTGACACTGTGTCAACAAACGCCGCTGAGTGACGGGCGGAGGGGACCGTCGAAACGCGCGGGCCATACAGCCAGAGACATCTCTCGGCGATTTTATGAACTAGCTGTGCAATGACTTTCAAATGAATAGAACTGCATAGTGATGCATGCAATGATGATTCACTCTACAGGATTGTGTAGAGAATCGATGTCTTTATGATTCCTAGCAGCCACATTTTTGAAATTGTTGTCATGGCTTTCATGCAATGCACTGCAAGATGAAAATTGTATCATGCAAAACATAGTACAAAATTTGAAAAAAGGCTTGCTAGGAAATGTTTTCCTTGACTTCGTCAGTCCAAAACTGCAAACATCACAGTCGTACGACAATCCGTTATTGAGTTCTATTCGTTTGAAATTTTGATTTTGCAATATGTTTGTCTAAATTGCTCAGTATATGTGGATTGCAGAACAACGGTAACCACTCTGTGATGACGAGGTTAACGTCCTTCATAACATATCCAAAAACGAAGGCAATCGAAGCAACGATGCTCTAGATATTTGCGAAAAACGTTTCTCATAGCGTTACGCGTGAAACGCACCCTTAACGACGAAAACACCTCAGATGTGTTCAGCTCGACAAAAGGGCATGAAATGGTCAGTATGGCCGAAATGCCCAAAATTCAAAAATCAATCAATCAATCAAGCTCGACAATACAGATCAATTGATTACTGATATGTATCATGATCTTTTCCGGTCAGGTCATGACCTTAACCTGCGGTCAAGTTTTCCAAATGACCTTTCAAGATCAAGTTATAGTACATTCGACGCATCTCAACAAGAGGAACACAATTGGCAAACGTAATGTTGTGACTCAATCGAGTCAAAAGTTATTGCAGAAAAAGTTTTGGAAACCTGCTATTTTATAGGTTTTACCCTCTGGAGTCTAGAAACTAAGCCATGGTCGATGAGCCGGCTCACCGAACTGTTCAAAGATGGCCTTGGACATGTTCAGCAGAAGTTTTCGGCTGGAGACGTGGCTTAGTGGGCTTCAGCTTCAGAGACCTCAGTTACTGATGGATTGTCGACTTGGAGACTGGCTTACTGTTGGCAATCAGCCTCATTGCCAGTTTCATTGCGGATAAGCCCGTCTTTAGCTCCGCACTTCGCGATGACGATTTACGCTACCCGGCTACCGGATTAAGCCTTCCTGCCGCGACCTAGCTTGTTCTCAGGCGTCTATCCGCTTCTGTCGCGTGACAACCAGCACCAAATCGTGCGGCAGCCGGCAACTCATACCAAGTGCCTCGGCGACCTGGCCGTGGGTCATGCCGCCGGCAACCATGCCGACTGCCCCGCTGCGGGATGATTTGCTCTGCAGTTTTGCCATGCTGGACAACTGGTCCGCGCGAGCTGGGTACTGCCCCGAAAATGACCTCCGTACAGTCAGTCTTAAAAGTACCGTGCAACAGTGCGGTGGATCCATCAAGCCTGACCGAGGAAGGGCCTGCTATAATTTGAAACTCACCGAACCAATTGACCTGGGGAATGGAGAGGATGTTATATACACCCCTTGACCAGTCAGGGTTACAAAAATTCAAAGGTCGCGTGATTTGAATGTAGCCAATATGGTCTGGGAGCAAGTACCGGCAAAATTTTATTAATATTGCACCGTAGAAAGCAAAATAAAGGTTGTGGGAGGGTGACATTCATTTTAGGACACCCTGTCTGTATACTAAAAGTGTATTACACTTCACCAGCCCAGCCAGCCATACCAAATGGGGCCCACATGGGCTAGAAGTGGGGAATCTGGGCAAATGTGGGCTGGGCTACATCTGGGCATGTCATGGGCTTCCAAGTTCCAACTGGGTCCCAGATGGGCTAAATGGGCTAACTTAACATGCTGGACTTCAGTGCATTTCGAACACGAGATGGCGGGCGCAAACACCCTTGTCTGCGCCAAATGGAGTTGGCGCCTCCACGTTTTTAAACTCAGAATGAGACAATCTGCAGCCACAGCAGCATGCTCGCAGCCCGCTGGTAAAAAAATTGCGACTAAGGGCCTGTTCCAGCGCCTCCAGTAAAAATTCTTGACTGGAGGCTCTACCAGAGGTTTCACTGGAAGCGCTGGAACGCAATCTGGAGATTTCTGGAGATTGGCATCACAGATACCAAAAGAATGACGATTGTTCTCTCTTGAAACGCAAAATTGTTTTCAATTTTATTAAGAATGATTAACAAAATTATAACAATGTAATTTTCTTTACATTGAAGTTGTAAAATAATCAGTCAAGAGTCCTTTGTTTACATTCGTGATTGTCACATGTGCGCCATAATTGTAGACCAGAGCCTCCAGAGAAATTGGGACCTCCCAACTCTCTGGAGGCTACTGGAGGTTTCTGGAGCTTTGGCGAGAGCTTTCTGGAGCTTTCTGGAGGCGCTGGAACGCTCTCTGGAGGATTCTAGAGCTTTCTGGAGCTTTCTGGAGGTTTCTGGAGGCGCTGGAACAGGCCCTAAACAGCAAACTAAACAGCGCCAGGGTTTTCGCCAAATTGTGGCCGCCCTGCATTGAAAAAATTCAGCTGCCGCCATGCAATGCACTGAACTCGGCACATGCGAAGTGCACATACTCAATACTCAATAGAACAAATGCACGTACTCAATAGGCGATGACAAGGCGATGTAAGTACCAACAAATTTGAATCTTTGAATTACAAACAAATGCATATGCCTTGCATATGCCATGCGCACGACGCATCGCATGCGGCATGCCTTTGCTGCATGCGTTGAACAACGCTGGCTAGATATATTATGACGTCATAGGTATCAAATCATTAAATTTCACAAAAAGGCTTTAAAATTTATGTTGCAAGGATATATGATGCTTGACTTATTTTATGTTTTTTTTTCGAACAAAGAAAAGCATAAAATTTTTTGTAGAATTGTTACCTGTTCGCAATCATTGCATAATATTTATCAAGAAAAGCAAAAAATGTATGACGTTTATATTCATCATTTTTTTTCAAAGTGAACTTGAATTGTTGAGCATAATTCGTGCCCTGTTTATTTTATTGACAGCCTGCTGCTTTTGGAGCTTTTCTGTCGGCAAAACTCGGAATCTCATTGGTGGTCAGCAGAGATTGCGCAAATTTCACCAATGAAAAGCGGAGGAGTGCCATCATGCAGTAACGGGGAACTGTGAACGAACACCGCTTGATTTTGTGCGCGGGACAATTCGAAAAAAAGTTGACGAAGGTGCTGGGGGTGCAATTGATTTCATTTGAGTTTGATATAAGACATTTTATATGTGTGTCGGTTCTTTTCGTCCTCTTTGAGCTTACATAACTGAGGTGCAATACCTACCCCTTCTTCTACTTTTTGGTTGCATTGAACTATTGAAGCTACAGTTGAAATCAAACCTGTATATGTCAAGTTTAGGTCAGGTTTGGATTATGTTTTTCTTTTATTTGCGAGACGCATAGGAGTATCATTTTTGGATTCAGGATGTCAAGTAATGTAAGAATATGAAAAAATTATCCATGAACTCTGCTTAGGACGACATTTACCATAAAACCTGACCTAGCCTTATGTTGCATATTCGTATATATCAACGGCGCCACAAATATAGATTGGACTTTTTCTGAACAAATACCCTACAATTTTGAACCGTTTTAGTTCTGTTGTCTGTATGCATGCTTTGAGCCATTTCAAGTCATGTTAGTATGAGTGATTTGTATTGATATGCTGCCAGTTTCAAGTTTCAACTTTCACGTAACATTTTTGTCTTATTTGCTTAATAATTCTGGCTACTCCAGTCTCCACTCAATAAAGTCACCAGGTGCGAGTTTTGCAGTCTGCAGTCACATCTTTCCCCAGACTGGAAAAATACATGTTATGGTGGATATGTCTTATTTCTGGCGTTAAATGGCCTGTAGTCATTGGTGGGATTGCGCCAAAAATTTCAGTGCATGTCTGCCATAATTTTGCATGCATCAAATTCAGCACATGGTGGCAACCATATTTTTCTGTGCAGGGCGGCCGCATAATTTTTGGCGAATGGCAGTCGCGGAATTTAGTCAGCAGACTCGGCAGGCTGATAGATCTAACCGCAGATTTGGCTCGGCTCTGGAGTGTGTTTGGTTGGGAGGAGATGTCCCTGCCCTGGTCGTCGCATGCTCGAACTAGTGAGCCGCCCTGAGTACTCAGAGGATCGGCCGCCCAAGTGAGGCCTCCACCCTTGGGGCGGAGATGAGTTTGGAAGACTTTATTGAATATTGCAGAGCATTGCGAAGTAATACTGCAATGAGTGGGTTCCTGCCCAATGCAGTATCGGGGGGAATGAGAGCGCTGACGACCGTCACCTGGCGAAACAAGCGGCCGCCCTGCCCTCCGACACCTGCTCGCTGACCCAGATGGCTCATTGTACGGCCTCGCATCAATAGCACGTCAACTGGTCCGAGTCACTAATCAAACCACTCCTCGGGAGCACGCCGCCGCTCCCTATCCCCGGAGAGAACTGAGAGGACGCCGTTTCGGTGCATCAGGTGAGGGCGGGGCCTGGGCCACTGGGGCCGCTCGCTTCGATGCCGTCGCCCCTCCGAGGCGTGCCAGCAGTGCCCAGACAAGCGTTGCCCATTGCCCCGCAACGCTCTGCGCCATGTGCTAAGAAGAGGCTGATGAGTGATGTGTCGGGGCACGTGTTGCTCCGCTGCCCGGCCCTTGCTGGCGCCCGCCAGGCGCCAGGTGCCAGCCTCGAACACACCGTTCCGCTGATTTTTGTGGCCCGGAATTTCGGGCAAGGGAATTGTTTCACGGCACATCGCTTGCTGGGACAGCTTTGTAGTGTGTGCTGGTCACTTCCATAGGAATAAATGGACAATGAGGAGTGTTAGCATATCCGCTTGTATTACGGCGTACTGTGCCGCCTATCACACAATTGATCGCATCTATGGCGACGATTGGGTCACAGGCCACAGCATTCAACAATCAACTGTGTCACTTAGTCTGCGTGATAAGGCACAGCCTACCATCCAGGGCAACTGATTGTTAAATGTGGAACACCATTATGTAGTTAACTGTGGAGCTGCGATGCACACTTTTCGAATGAAAAATATTATTCCGGTTAGTAAAGCCACCGCTTAATAAATCCAAAACGTCGTGTTACAAACGTGGATTTATTCAGAACTCAGAAGATTCTGCTGCACTGGTTTCACCCTAGAGGCTCATGCTCATGAGTCATGACTCAGCTATTTACCTCCAGCTCATTTCACTGACCATGCTCCACTAATTTGTAACAGAAGCTGCGATGAGCTCTGATGAGCATGGACTCAGCACAACATGGACCGAGTGTAACTTGTATTCAGCTGGTTCCTCTCCAAGTGCCTCCCCACCAGGATCTCCCCTGATTGGCAGCCTTGGAGGCAGAAAACAGGAAAAGGCCAGAAACCATGGTGAGATTTAGCTCCTACTGCTGTATTATAATATATTATATAATATCCCGCGCCCGGCTGGGGGTCCTGGATTTCCACGCCCTGCTGGGGGGGGGGGGGTGTTTGAACACCCCCCCTTGTAACTCGGCTCCTGGGCCACGTAGCGATACGCGGAAGGCGGCGTTCGAAAGAGCGTCAAAAATAATGACGAAATCACTTCGGTCAATTTTTTGGTCAGGTCAAAGGTCAGGTCACCAGAGGTCATTGAAGGCAAAATTTCGCCGATTTCCAGGTCGAATGTCGAAAATTTCCAAGAAGCCAACGCATAACTCGGGAACCAATAGAGCTACAGCGCCGCGGAAAAGCGCATTTGATAGCCCTATTAACGCCCTTTCTGAGTAATTCTCTCAGATTTGACCTAACGTCAACGGTTTTGCCTGCAGGGGGCAAAAACTGCAAAAATAGCCGATTTTTTCGAAAACAGTTTTTATGCAATAACTTTTGACCCAATCCCTGTACGAGCTTACTTTTACCGGCATAGTGTTCCTCTCGTCAAGACGCATCGAATGAACTATAACTTGACCTTGAAAGGTCAACTTGAAAATTTGACCTCAGGTCAAGGTCATGACCTGACCGGAAAGGGTCATGTTGCATATCAGTCGATCCGTATCGTCGAGCTGAACACATCTAAGGCGTTTTCATCGCTCTAGCATGCCTCTATCAAAAGTTATTTGCGAAAAACTGTTAGATACCATTCGTGACCTAAGATGACCTCAGGGCATACACAAGGGTCACGGACACCATTTTCATGTTCAGTGTGTCTAAACCACTTGTAATTCGGTGTTTGGGAGTGTTTATAATGTCTTTCGTCCAAAAGAGGCGCATTTCAATTTTCTCCCATTGACTTATAATGGGGAGGTCGCAAAATTGACCTGACCTTAGGTCATCGTTATCAAAATTCTGAGATATACATTTTGTACATGCTATTGCTCTTAGCAATCGCTGAAAGTTTCAAAGCGATCGGTCACTCGGTGTAGCTATGACAGACATTGAAACTTTTTATGAGGTGAGGTCACTTCAAGTGACCTGGTGACCTGACCTTGAATGACCTTGGTCTGAAATTTTCACAACATGTGTAGAATTGATGTATGATAAGGTGTACCAAAAACGGCGGCGCTCCGCGCCGCCGTTTTTGAGATATTCGCGAAAAACCACAAGGGGGGGTGTTCAAACACCCCCCCCCCCAGCAGGGCGCGGGATATGCCTAGTGATGCAGCTTGTTTACCTACGTATTTTGCAGGCAAATGGGTGTGTACTGTGTAGTGCCTGCCAAATGTTTAGGACATTTTGATGCAGTGCTGTCAATTTCATAAGAATTTTGTCCAGTACTGTCCATGCCATCTGTGGCTCACTGATGCCACCTGTGCTTGCCAGCTCGACGAGCTCCAGCCCAGGAGGGCCAGGAGGCTGTGCTCACCTGTCCTGGTCGGGCACTGCTTCGGGGCGGTGCTGTCAGACAGCAGCTCTCTCTGGAGACGGCCCAGCCCGCAATCTGCCTGCCACTGAATGAGGTGAGCCAGCCGCTGGACCGGGGAAAGAGTCTGCTGCAGCCTCTTCGGAGCAGAATCCAGTGACTGATCATCATGGCTGTTGGAAGTAGTGATCTGACTTGATGAGAACCGAGTCAACTTGTTTTAGCCTATGGAAGGATATGTGAATTAGATATGCCATATTCTAATCAGATCCCTTTGCTCGTTCTAGATAAGTATCTGTGCCTCCTGCGCCTCCCACTTCTGTTCTGGCAATGGTGAATATCAGACGTAGGTCCCTTGGTGTAAATGAATCAGTCAGCTGTCATATTGCCCTGATCGTCAGTTACGATCACCGGTTGCCCTTTTTCGTCATGACCGGCAGTCCCAGGAACTCGAGCATTTGCTGCTCTCGATGGCTCAAGCATCATACACTCTTGAAGTCGAGTGTGCTGCTGTGGCTTGCTATAACTCACGAAATGAGCGCCAGGAGTTTTACAGCATACGTCAGAAAGCTACCAACAAGATGCGGGCCCTTATCAACTATATAGACCAGTAAGTCACTGTCATGTTTGTTTGTTTTGTTTGTTTGCCTTGTTTGCCGGGATTTTAGGGCGCTTAGACAGCTCATCGCCATGTATATTGAGATGTCAATGGTAGACAAACCTTCAGTTTTATTTAATCGCATGTTACTCCACCCAGTCCATTTAACCCATGTGGTGCATAGCTGGGCATTGACGTGTTTTCCGTCCGTCAGGCGGGGCGCGCTGACCGACGACGGGTGGCGCCAGGAGGTCGAGGTCGGACTGCACCGTCTGCACCGGCGCGTCGGCTACCTGGCGCCGCCGGGACCAGCCGACGAGCTCTGCCACGACCCGGTTAGTCGCCGCTCCGTCGCAGAGCTGCCGGTCTCCGTGTGCCAGTCTGTAGCATGTGGACTGAATGACTGGTGGTGATCGGTAGTTAGTAGGCGTGCTGCAGCGTAGCGCAGCTACTGTAGCTCGGTAAGATTTTAGGAGTGAGCATGATGAATCTATTCTGTAGTCTGATCAAGCTGGCGGTAGACAGCATCGTACGCAAATCATTCAATTATCATTTATTGATGTCCTTCTCTGCGTTTCCTGCCAGATATTCAGTCATTGCGCACGGCTTATCGAATGATTGTTTCTCGACCACCTTTCTCAACTTGCTTGTGCAGCCTCTGGTGAACCGACGCCCGCCGTTCCGTCCCATTTGCCCCGAGCCGTGCGGTCCCGATTACGGTCTCTGCCTTGCGATCTAGTTTATCTCGAGCCGTCCGTCCCACCTGACCTCCCACCTGTCCCACCTGTTCGGGCTCACCTGACTCCGGGAGTTCGAACGGTCCTAACGTAACCCCGTCCGTCTGTACGGTCCCATCTAGCCCCGTCTGTGCCGTCCCGTCTGACCCTGACCCTTCCTCTCGTACCATTACAGACGCTGGTCTCGCGCGCCCACCAGCTGTTTCACCTGCAGCTGGACCTGCGAGTGCTCTCCGTGTCCGCGCTGGCCCGGCTGAGCGATCTCAGCGACCAGCCGCCGCCGCGCGACTCGCCCGGCGGACCGACGGTGCCGTGGCTGTCCGCCGTGCCCGGCCGGCACCGGTGGCGCCGTGCCGCCCACGCGCTCGCCTGGGAACTGGCCGTTCTGGCGCACAACAAGATGAGAGAGGTGAGAGGCGACCGGTGGCCGCTGCCGAGACAGCCGGTTTGGAGAATTGCTCTTGCGGTTTTCTGATTTATTTGGATCTTAAATGGTCATAGTGGCAATAGTGCTTGACGTTGCGTTGCTCTTTGTCTAGCAATTCAACAGGTTTCAAACTAAATTAGTCGTAGTTCGTACCAGACTCTTTTATCCAACACGCGAAACGCAATGGCTGTCGTTCGCTGGGATGACCGAAACCCCTCGCTCCCGCTTTGCGTCCAGACGCCCCTGGCCGAACTGGCCGACACCTGTGCGTTCTCCTGCGGCTGTGAGAAGGGCGCGTGGCTGGCGCTGCGGCGGCTGCTGGGGCCCGGCGGGCGCTCCGCGGCGGTGGCGGGCCCCGGCGGGCCGGCTGGCCTGTGGGCGGAGCTGGAGCCCCTGTTTGCCCATATCCTCAGCCCGCCGCCACCCTCCCCGGAGGCCACACTGGCCGATGAGGTGAGAGGACTCAGGGGAGGTGCACCAGGGACTGAGGGGATTGAGTGGGTGATGTGACTTTAAAGATGAGACTAGGACGCTTTGATATTTTTACAAATATGAAACTTTACTCTCACTTATATGGAAATTCCGTTATAGTTATTGAAAGCTTATTTGAACCGGCAATTAATTGCATTATGTTCGTGGGTGTTCCCTTAATTAGGGTAACGTTTTGTTGGAAGCGGACGCTGCCTTCTCGTTATCTCGCTGACGTTGTTTTCAGTTTCCGCTGATGGAGACGGAGTGGTCAGAGGCGCCGCTGTTCCTCACCTGGCTCATGTCTTCTGTGAGTGATGTGTTTCGGTACGACGACCAGGACACGTTCAAACCTGACCTCACGGTACGTGGAGCAAAACAACAGCCTCATCGGACTCAGGCGGCACCGGGCGTAATCTCTGTCCAATATCCATTTTAGGTGGTGCATAGGTCTTTATTCTGGCTGGACATATAGTTCAAACGGCTCTCGGTAATGCACAGAGCCGCCACCTGTGTCTGTTACAGTGTGACCGTAACACGACGTCCCCCTCCCCTGTGTCCGTTACAATATGACCGTATTACGTCCCGTACGTCGTAACACTTTTCCCGTTACAGTGTGACCGTAACACGTCCCCTGTGTCTGTTACAGTGTGACCAAAACACGTCCCCTGTGTCCGCTACAGTGTGACTGTAACACGTCCTCCTGTTCGTTACAGTGTGACCGTAACACGCCCCCTGTCCGTCACAGTGTGACCGTAACACGTCTCTGTTGCTGTCTGTTACAGTGTGACCGTCCGTTGTTACAGTGGGACCATAACACGTCCATCTCTGTCCATTACAGTATGACTGTAGCACACCTCCTCTGTCCATTACAGTGTGAACGTTACACGTCCCCTATCCATTACAGTGTGACCGTAACACGTCCTCTGTCCGTTACAGTGTTACCGTAGTCCGTAACACGCCTCCTGTCTGTCACAGTGTGACCGTAACACGTCCCCTGTGTCTGTTACAGTGTGACCAAAGCAGTTCCCTCTCTGTCCGTTACAGTGTGACCGTAGTCCGTAACGCGCCCCCTGTCTGTCACAGTGTGACCGTAACACGCCCCCTGTCTGTTACAGTGTGACCGTAACACGTCCCCCTGTGTCCGTCACAGTGTGACCGTAACACGCCCCCCGTGTCCGTCACAGTGTGACCGTAACACGCCCCCTGTCTGTTACAGTGTGACCGTAACACGCCCCCTGTCTGTTACAGTGTAACTGTAACACGTCCTTGCTGCTGTCCGTTACAGTGTGACCGTAACACCTGTGTCCGTAACAGTGTGACCGTAACACATCCCCTCTGTCTGTCACAGTGTGACCGTAACACGTCCTCTGTCCGTTATAGTGCGACCGTAACACGCTCCTGTGTTACAGTGTGACCGTAACACGCTCCTGTGTTACAGTGTGACCGTAACACGCCCCCTGTCTGTCACAGTGTGACCGTAACACGTCGCTGCTGCTGTCTCTGGTCTCGGCGGCCGCCGCCGGCGCCGCGGAGACGGAAGATCCGGCCGGCGGCGAGCGGCGGCTGCGCTGTGTGCTGGCGCTGTGCGGCCGGCTCACTGAGCTCTGGGGCGCCACGCCGGCGCTCTCCAACACGCTCTGGGAGGTAGTGGTGCGCCGGCTGGTCAGGCCGCAGCCGCCCGGACCCGTCTCCGTCCTCCAGATGACCTCCACAGTGCCGTGAGTTGTAACATGCGGTGGCTAGACGTGATATCTTCAGCTAGCCCGTTTAGAGTTGGGTATGTTAGAAATTGCCCGAAGCTATCAAGTGTTATGTTTCAAGTAGTGCCTGTGGTGCCTAGTTTAGTAGTTAGTACCGTTCTCAACTGGGTGGTGTTTCTGGCTGGATGATGCAGCAGCTTGTGACCATAATTCATCATCGAGTCTCACCTCGCCCTGCTCTCTGCCAGCCGGTCGGGTCGGCGCTGGTGGGAGTCGGTCTCGGAGCCGCCGCCGCCCGAGGACAGTTTCGGCCAGTACCTGCTGCTGCTGCCGGCGCAGCTGGCGGCCGGCGCCGACTGCTGGCGCCAGCTGCGCGGCCGCGTGCTGCTCCGACTGCACGCCAAGCGGGCCGTGCAGCTGTCGGCGGCAGGGCTGCGAGCCGCCTGCACACTGTTCCTGACTCTCATACACCTGGTGCCCGATGACGTGCAGCTGGTGGGCATTGGGAGGAGGGCCATGGAGGCTCGGTGGGGATAGGAGAGGCAGTTGGATGTGGTCGGTGCTAGTAGAGACAGAAGCCGGGATTTGGGTGGATGCTTTAAATTTGTCTTTAATTATTTATAAGAATTGAACCAGCTGTTTCTCAATGCATCGACGAGTGAGTTATAAGCAAACGGTGCCGGCCGTTAGACTGAACAATAAACCGGCATGTTTACAATAAACTGATCAGTGAAATTACTGATGTTATGATTGGTGATAAGATATACAGTGGAAAAACTACTTTGACCCTGTGTTTCAGGTGGACAAGTTCATCTCGTTCCTGTCTCAGGTCAGCGAGTCGTCGGCACACGAGATCCTGGTCTGCCGGGCATACTTCGCCGCCGCTCACCTGCTCTTGGTAAGCTGAATCAGGTAGTGCTAGCTTTGCATATTGCCAGACAAGTCGTACCCTTTCACACCGGGCACATGATTGTAGATCATTGCCTTTAAATGTGCACGCGCTTACTTTAAATGTAATACCAAGCTTTTTTTTGCGTTTTGCGTTATTGAGCGAGTTTCATAGCTTATCTCGCTTCTTTTGAAGTTACGATAGGAACTCATATTCACGCTATTCCTTCATACTGCGGGTGTTTGGTAGTTTATTCACGGCCGATCCTGCAGGTCAACTGACGTGTGTGCTGTGGCAGAGTGTCTGTAACCTAACCTTCCCCTGTTCCCAGGAGTCCGGCCGGGACGTGGGCGCTGTGGCCGCCGCGGCCGCCGCGCAGGCGGACCGGGAGCTGCGTGCGGCCGCCGACGCTCGGCCGTTCTCTCTGGCCCTGGTCGCTGCCTACTGGGAGGAGTGCTCGGAGCTAGTGCGCGCCAGTCCGCGGCTCGACAAGTCCGAGTACCAACTCGTCAGTGAGTGGAGAATCGGGTGCCGGTTACCTGGGAAGGCGCACTGGCTTGCGACTGCTGAGTGTTCATAAGAGACCCGAAATAGGTACATGACGCAAAGGGTAGCGTTCGTTTGGCTTTGTGAAAAATGTTTCGCTGGCTTCATTCGGTATAACTTGTATTAACATTGACATACTATAAGCATCGTATACAAATACCACCTTGACGTGTCTTTGACATTTACCGCTCTTTGGCAGCGTCCGGCTGGCGTGCGTACCTGGGCTGCTGCGGGCCGTCGGAGCTGGCCCGAGGCCTCTCCGTGCTGCTGCAGCTGGCCGGAAAACTGCTAGGAAATATCCAGCAGCTGCAGCCCATGGCACACATCGTGGACACGGAGGGTACGGAGCGGCGGACGGGGAGGGGGAGTGAGGATGAGAGGCAGGAGGGGCCTATTTGTGATGGCGTCTTGCTTCGTGACTTATCCTAGATCATTGGTTTTACGTATTAACCCGCGCCCCAGTGGCGGTCTCGGCCAACTTCGCCCTAGTGTGTGTGTGTGTGTGTGGGGGGGGGGGGGGCATATGTTACCACCCACCTCTAACTCAAAAACTAAGAGGGCTAGAAAGACGCGGTAAAGAGCAGTCGATAGCTCTCAATGCGTACGTTTGAAAGTATTTCAGTCATTTTTCATCTTAGAGCAATATTGGGGTCACCAGAGGTCATCAAAGGTCAAAATTTGCCAATTGTCATTATACTTTTCAGAAAACGTGCCGTTATCTCAGGAACTATGGTAGCTAGAAAAACGCATGGAAACTCAATCGATAGCTTTTGAACTCTTCTTTTGATAAGGTCATTATCAAAATTGACCTAAGGTCAACGGTTTAGCCTCCAGAGGGCAATAACTCCAAAAATAGCTGTTTTTACGAAAAGTGTTTTTCGACAATAACTTTCGACTACAAACAGCTACGACATTTCTATTGCCAGAATCGTGTTCCTCTCGCCGAGACGCGTCGAGTGAACTATAATTTGACCTTGAAAGGTCATCTTGAAAATTTGACCTCAGGTCAAGTCATGACCTGACCGGAAAAGGTCATGTTGCATATCAGTCGATGCGTCTGAACAAGACAAACACAATGAGACCATCCCCAGCGTTCTATCTCTTTCCAATCGCGAGTTATTGGCAAAAATCTGTTTGTAGCCTCAAATGACCTCGGATGACCTTTATAGAGGCCATCAGCAAAAATGACACCTTGGTCATCCCGGGTGGTCCAAGTCATTGTGATTCTGAAATATTTGGACTGTTCCTATGCGTACACACGGATCTAGAGGCATTTTCATTTTCCCCCATTGACTTGTAATTGAAAGATCACGCCACTGACCTGACCTTAGGTCACGGATATTAAAAAAAAAAATTATTTATTTATTGCGGGTCTTTGTGGTATCCAATACATGACTGGCTTTTAAACCACAGTGTCATACAATGTGCAACCGAGGTGTAAGATAGGTAAAAAACATATTACACACATTGTACACAAACATTGAAAAGGTTAAAACACGTGAAAAAACATTGACACGCTAGCATGAAAAAGTTGAGACGGTGGAGCTAAGAGGTCGGTGCGCAGTATTTAAGTGGGTGGCAGTCGCACATCGCCGACAGGCTACTTCACCGACATTAGAGACGCTTTCTCACGCTTTTTAGAATGACTGACTTTGTCGTTCCGAGATATACAAATTGTAGGCAATAACAGCATGCAATCCACCAAGTTTGAAACCTTTCTGACAAACACTGCAGGCTGGACATGATTGCAAACTTTTTTAGGCTTGGGCAGTTAACTTGACCTGGTGACCTGACCTGACATGACCTGGGGTAAAAAATTTCACACATTGTCCAAAATTGATGTACCAAAAGCTACCCCAAGCGGCGCGGCTCTACGCTCCGCGGTTTTTTATTCACACGCAAAAAACGCGACAGGGTGGTAACATATGCCCCCCCCCCCCACTGGGGCGTAGATTAAGTGGGCAATAGTTAGCTGTTTTATGAACGTGCACGTGAACTTCGTTAAAAAATGCAATGTCCTCAAGCATTACCGTAGCGTATCGAACAAACTACCCATATATAGTTATTTTTTTAAACTTACTGTCGAACAATACCAGCGGTACTCGCAGTCATGTTGGTATCTCGTACTGTCGATGATGGTGGCTGTGCCTGGGTAGTCTTTGACCTGACCTCTCCCCGCGCCCTGACCGCTCCCCATGCCCTGTCCGCTCTCTTGTCCTGACCTCTCCGTGCCCTGACCTCTCCGTGCCCTGACCTCTCCGTGCCCTGACCTCTCCATGCCCTGACCTCTCCGTGCCCTGACCTCTCCGTGCCCTGACCTTTCCCCTGTGACCTGACTTCTCCCCTCGCCCTGACCTCCCCCGTGCCTTGATCTCTTCCCGCGCCCTGACCACTGCCCCGTTCGGTCTCAGTGGTGACTCGTAAGGAGCAGTACAGTCAGCTGACGGAGCGGCTGCGGCTAGTGGCGCCGCTGTTACACACCCTGGCGCTGTCTGCCAGCCCGCCGCCGGAGCTCGCCCAGCTGGCGGCCACGCTGACCCTGGTGCCCGGCGCGGGCTGCGAGCTGCACCACTTTACCGCGGACACTGTCACACCCAGGTGAGAGGCGCCTACCCCCTGTCATGGAGGCAGGCAGTAGCGTGTGTAATGGCGTCTCTTGGCTTTCGGCTTGTAGCTGTCGTACGGAACGTTCGTGTCAGTATCTATTGTCTACTTTTCATTCTATTAAACTGGTTCGTGATCTCGCTCCTTTTTCCGATCTTCTGATTGTTTTACTGTCCCATTTATATGATAATGCTCGAAGCAGTGAGAGATGCATTATGTACTTGTACAGAGACTAAGCTGCTCCATCTCCTTTCCCGTGTTTCAGTGTGTGCGCGGCGTACGTGACGGAGCTGCTGGCGGCGGCGCCGGAGCGGCTGGCCGCCGGCCGGGACGGCCTGGTGCGGCTGTGGCTGCGCTGCTGGGCCGGCGGCGCCGACCTGGCGGAGCTGGGCCCGATGACGGCGGCCGTGGCGCGCCGGGAGGCGGCGCTGGTGCCGGCCGGACCGCCGGCCGACCCGACCACCGCGCGGCAGTTCACCGAGCGGCTGGCCAGGCTGGCCGAACAGGTCCGTGGGAGGGATTGTGCACGTGGTTAGATGGAGTCAAGCGTGTCCATGAAGGGGTGATTGAGCAATGGAGCAGATCATATGGGAGGGGAAGGAGGTGGTGAGCCCGATGAAGGCGCTGGCCGGTATCCGTTGTTTTACTCCTTTACCGACCTACGTGATTTTTTATGTTGACATGTCACTTAACCCTCGCCCCGTTGGGGGGGGGGCATTTTGGCCCCCCCCCCTGTGGTTTTTCCTGAATAGCATGAAAACGGCGGCGCACAGCGCCGCCAAATTTTCAGTACCTTTCCGGGCATCAATTTGACACCTTCACACCAAATTTCAAGTCTTATGTCACCTTAGGTCAGGAGTTATTGAGGTCAAACTGAGGTCATGTTCGAGCAAAAATGAGCAAAAAACATGCAATCTTGAAACGCTCACCAAATCTACAGTTATCAAGCAATTTCAAAGTTCTTTATATGGTCTAATAGACAAAAAGCGGCGCTACAAAACTGCTATCTCGGATTTTCAAAATTTTGGGTTTTTGACCCAAAAAAATTCAAAAAATTGATTTTTTTAGAAAAACTAATAAAAAATCCAAAAATTTTCCGAATTTCGAAAAAACCGGAATATATGTGATAGTCCCTGCGCTCTTCTATATACATACCAAATTTCAGATCGATATCTCGTTTTTTGGCCAAGTTATAGCGAAAAAACTGTTCAAAAATGATGACGTCAAATTTTTGAACTCAATTATTAGCGATTCTAGACCTCGTACGGCAAAACAAAGACCACCATTGAACTCCCCGTGACGAGCTGCATCGATTCGATACCCATTTTATGCAAAAATATCAACTTTGAAATTTGACCTTATTTGACCTGACCTTGACCTGACCTTGACCTGACCTTGACCAAAACGTGACCTAAGCTGGCCCCAAAGGCTGCCTGACCCACATAATCGCATTTGTCATGTAAAATGGACCATAAAACATGTATCACACGACACTTTCATATTGTGACCCCCCAGTGACCTGACCTCAGTGACCTGACCTGGTATCAGTGACCTCAACTAGCAAAATATGTGTTTGAAGAACATTTCCCCATCGATGATTTTCAATGAAATGCATTTTACTCGATTTTACAACGCATTTCTTGAAATGCCTGTAAACGGTGAAAATTGGACCTTTGACCTGACCTGTGACGTCATCGGTTTGACCTAGGTCAATAAAATTGGGTCACAAGGTAGTTCCCTGATAGGGCTATCCAACACCGTTTGCCGCTTGTCGCTACGTTGCGTGGTTCTCGAGATCTTAGGGGGGGGGCCAAAATGCCCCCCCCCCCCCAACGGGGCGCGTTGCTCGGCAGAGCCCAACGGGGCGCGGGTTAAAGTTACGATTCTTGCTATATAATTTCCTACGCATGCTTTTTTACACTTCTTTTCTAATGCAGGTTTTTGTATTCCTTTTAACTTAGAGTTCATATGATATTGTGTACTGTATATATTGATGATTGTTATATTGTCTTGATAGCTCGAACTCTATGCCACGTTTACTTTACTTCCCGCCGGCAGCGCTGCATGACCGTCTATGGTACATGATTCTGGTGTCTGACGTGCCGCCCTGCCCACAGAGTAAGGAGGGCCGTGAGCGCGTGAACGCCATCTTCTCGGACCTGGCCTTCATCGATGCCTACTTGCGCGGTCCGCGTGCAGCTTCGCCCGGTCTGTCGCACCTGTTCCTGGTCTTCGGCCTGGTGGTGAAACACCTCATCAACGTTCTGGTAAGCGGGGCATGCCATAGAGTGTGTCACGGGCTCGGATCGTATCTTACGACACATTTCATACCCGTTATTGTGATACTGACAGTAAACCATGTTTCAACTGCTACCAATATTTAGGGAATAGTCTGAGCCCAGATAATTGCATGAGTCATTTAGCTCATCACAGTTGCAGTAAGTAAATATATAATTTCTTGAAATGCTGCGCCATAAAACACACCGTTAAAACAGCTGGCTGTAGAGTTCAATTATTCGGCCGATTTGGATCGTCTTTATCATGCCACTGTCATCTACTTATGCCGTACTCGTTACATTCCCACATTGTGTAATGTGCATTGCCACCGGCAGGAGCTGCGGAAGGTGGTGAGCATCATCCAGCGTCTGCTGTTGCCGCCGGCCGTCTACAACTCGGAGAAGGCGCTGGCGCCGCCCATGAGGAACGCCCTCGCTCGGTCCATACCGCTGGTCAGTTGCCGACGTGACTGTCATCTCAGGGTGGATTCACATCACGAATCAGTCATTACGAGCGAGCGAGCGCAGCGAGCGAAGCGAGTCTTTTCAATATAACGGAAAAATCTCAGTATGAGCGGCCCGGCCCGGCCTGTAACGCTTTTGAGAGGCTTATATCTCAGCAACCGCTGGACCGATTGGCCTGCGGTCTTTTTTGCTGGGTAGCCCCATCCCTTCTACCCCGTAATTGACTACTTTTGATACATCTCAGTGACCGTCTTGGCACGTGCCACGTGAAATGTCAAGGGTGTTCAAGCTGTTTTGCAAAAGTAGTGATTTTGAGAGGCTTATATCTCAGCAGCCGCTTGGGCGATTGACTTGCGGTAATTTTTGTAGGGTAGCAGCTGCATCCCTTCTTCTAAAAATAGGATACTCTCGATGCATGTGGGTCACCCCCAGTGCACGTGCAAAATACAACAATAAGAGGTGTCAAATTTGTTCCCATTTTAATAACTCGGTAATTACTGGGGCGATTTCGCTGAAACTTGGCATACAGGTAGGCACCCACCAGGCAATGCATTCCCATGTGTTGCGGTTAAGGTGCTACTGCACGTGCGCACGTGCAGGGGGGCGCTTCCAGATCTCGAGAACGGCTGGGCCGATCGCGCTCAAATTTGGTACACGGTTGGGGACCAGTTAGTAGGGTGCCGTGCAAAAGTCATTTTGGACCCCGTTTGCACGTGCGCACGTGCAGAATGCCGCTTCCAGATCTCAGGAACGGCTGGGCCGATTGCGTTCAAATTTGGTACACCGCTAGCGACCGGTTAGAAGGGTGCTTTGCGCAAGCCCGTTGGAAGTACCCTCTCGCCCTTCCGCACGTGCAGCCTGCAGGGCTCACTATCTCGCTCGCTCGTTCTTCGCCCAAAAGGCGTTTTACTGGTTAATTAAAACTGTTTTCAGTTGCATACTTACTTTGCCGCTTTAGAGATTTAGAAGCTGTGTAAGGTTATAGTTGCATACAAATATTGCTATACTGCTCATGCTGTAATGAAAACATTGTTGACGTTTTACTCTTCGCTTTTTTGAAGGTATGTTATTCGTTATTCGCTGTCTCCGCTACCGTCAAACATCCCACAGCCATGACTGATACTGACTCTTATCCTCTGCGCCGACAGTTCCTGGCCGGTATCGCTCGGGCCGACTATGCCACGGAGAAGTCTTACCGGCGCTTTGTGAAGGACACACTGGTGCATTACATGTACCGGTTTCCGAGCGACTCGCACCCCCTGCTGGTGGGTGGACCTGGCGGCGGCATGGGGGGGGAGGTTGCGGGCCGATGGGGGACTCGGGTAGTGGTGGTCTGTATAGTCATGGGCTGTCATAAAGGAAGGAGGCATATGCTCTCGTCGGAATTGGAACTATTATCGAGCAACTGCTCATAACTGGTTGTGTCAACTGAAAAATTAGGACAGCTGGGTGGTGTAATAATTATTCTACAGTATACATGTGGCATGCCAGTAAAGGCAGTTGGGGTGTCTGCCGTGCTATTAAGAATTCAGCAAGTCACACGAATGTCGAATACCGCAGAAGTTGATGAGCTCTTTTTACAGGACGTATTCAGATCGGATGAAGTATCTGACCAGTTCAAGGATTTCGTCATGCAAATGATGGCGGAAACGTTCCTTCAGAAGATCGGTGGAAAGTTCCACGACAGCCTGCTGCAAGTAAGACATATTTTCATCGCTGTTCACTGGTGATCAAACATTAGGTTCACAGTGGATTAATGGCGACCGTTTTCCCGCGACATGCCCGGTCGTTCAGTCTGCTCCCGATCTGACGCCGTGTCCCGGTCCCCACAGGCGGCCCAGTGTCTGTCGGCGCTGGTATCGGCGGACCGCGGCGGTCACCTGACGGCCCTGGTCGCCCGACGGACGGCCTCGCCCCTGCTGGAGCTGCTGCTCAGCCTAGAAGAGCCCCGCGCCAAGCGAGCCGCCACCGATCTGCTCAAACTGCTCTGCCGCTCGCAGGCCGACGGCGTCAGGTTAGACCAATCGTTATCGACGGCTGTAATGGTGACGTGTCGCGCGGGCTCAGATTGACCTCGAAGTGGGGCCTACGTCGTGTGCCAGTGCAGTTTCTCAGCGAATGTATGCTAGTTCCTCTAGTCTAGTACAACATGGTGTAATTTATAGTAGCACCGACTCGGTAACTCGCCCGGCCTGTGCTGTCGACCCTCTGACTCTCCCCAGCTCCTACGTTCACGCTCAGCCCCTACTCTCCGGCCGTTAAACAACTCCGTGTTCTCCGCAGGCCGGTGCTGTCGTCGGCGGTGGAGCGCCTGCTGGATCGCCAGCTGGCGTTCCACTCTGGCCGCGTGTTCCAGCTGCTCGAGGTGCTGGCCGTGCTGGCGCCGGCGCTCACCCGTGACCTGCTGCCCACCCTGGAGCACCACGTGCGCAGGACTGAGCTGCGCCGCGGCGTCGGAGAGGACCGCATACTCAGGTGGGGGAGAGGACATTACGGTCAGGTGGAGGGAGAAGTGTATTTTTCGGGTGGGAAAGGACGGTGTCTTCGAGTGGGGTAAGTGTCTTATGCAGCTTCTCTCGAGTGGGAAGGACTGCGTATACTGGTTACTCAGGTGGGGACATGACCGTATACTCAGGTGGCGAGAATATTGTATGCTCAGGTAGGGAGAGGACCGCCCCATCCTCCGGTAGGGCGAGGATCGTGTCCCCAGGTAGAGCGAGGACCGTGTCCCCACGTGGGGGAGGATATTTTCCCCAGGTAGGGGAGGATATTTTCCCCAGGTAGGGGGAGGATCGTGTCCCCAGGTAGAGCGAGGACCGTCATCTCCCCAGGGAGAGCGAGGACCGTGTCCCCACGTGGGGGAGGATATTTTCCCCAGGTAGGGGGAGGATCGTGTCCCCAGGTAGAGCGAGGACCGTGTCCCAGGTAGAGCGAGGACCGTGTCCCCAGGTAGGGCGAGGATCATGTCCCCAGGTAGAGCGAGGACCGTGTCCCCAGGTAGGGGGAGGGTCGTGTCCCCAGGTAGGGGGAGGATATTTTCCCCAGGTAGAGCGAGGACCGCGTCCTCCGGTAGGGAGAGGTTCGTGTCCCCAGGTAGAGTGAGGACCGTGTCCCCACGTGGGGGAGGATATTTTCCCCAGGTAGGAGGAGGATATTTTCCCCAGGTGGGGGGAGGGTCGTGTCCCCAGGTAGGGCGAGGATCGTATTAGCAGACTAGGAGAGGACATGCTCTGGTGGTTGGGTGACGAAGGTGGTCCAGCGGCGTTTGTGGGACTAATAATGTAGTTGGTGGATGGCGTCAGTGGGGCTAGTGGGACACGAGTCAGGCTACGCCTACTAGGATAAAGAAATTGCTTAAGTAAATAATGGATGTTGTTTGCGGTGATTCGGTCAGCAAAGTGTCAGATTTTCTTGCATAGTTCCGATATCGGCGACCCATGTGATGAGTCCCGACCTGTGTTAACTCCATGTGCCGCTGGCCTCCGCCTAGCTGGCTCTTGTTTGCTGCATCCTGACTGAGCTGTTTCTTTCCCAGGAACGGGCTGGCGCGAGTGCAGCGCCGTCTGGCAGCGGTTGGGGAAATTATCGCACCATCGGCGGACAACGGCTGCTAGACGGGCACCGAGCGCCGTTAGGATTCCTATCCTAGCGGTTAGAGGCTGAACGCGAGTTCCACGGCTGTGATAGTTCTGTGCGAGAGTGATACTCATGTCAGTGCAGTGTGCGTACCGTGGCGTGTAACCAAGTGTCGCGTTCAGATTCTCATTCCACGCTGCCGATATTTTGCGTATTGTGGAAGACTGTTCGAACTGTGCGCTCAACCGTCAACATTTCTGTCGCCTACGCGTGCTCGCTATCCGTTGAACGCTCATACGACTTTTTTGTATTGTGATCTTTGACGCGTTGTATTGCAACTGGACGCTATTCATCGTGATGTATCCCGGATGTTTCGGCAATGCATGCAAGTACGAACAATCATTTATGCAACGACGTTTCACGTACCCTGTTGCAGGTGAATTATCGTTCGCCAGTAATAGAATGAAGGAACTGTCAATTTTTGGCGGTGTTACTCATACAGACATTCGCATTACGATCTTTGACGGTGCGACTAGTCACGGTAAGCTGCCACCGGGGGACCACCACTCGGACCAAAAAGGTGACCCAAGTCAAATCGGATAACCAGCTCACACCTCGTTTCCCACGGGGCGCACGGATCATTCACCTCACAAACCACAGGGATGAGTCGTGGTCACAGTTTGGTCACAGTCAGTGCCCGTAAGGCACGACGCCTGAACCGGCGTCACTCATCAGTGATCACTCACTGATCAGATCACTCACTGATGAGACCTCAAGCGCACTCTTTTTACATTCACACTAGAGGTACAGGTTTACGCGATAACTGTATGTTTTGATATGTATGATTAACGGATGCATTAGTTTGGGTGTAGAAACTTGCATTTTTATTGGTATTATTTGTGAAGAACTGGGTAACTGCTTTTAATTGAACTGTAAGTATGATAGTCATGCATGCGAGTTCTAGAGCCCTCTGTAAGTTAGGATGTTACTCAATTCTGCCCTACCCTACCCTACCCTACCCTACCCTACCCTACCCTACCCTACCCTACCCCTACACTACCCTACCCCTACTCCTACACTACCCTACCCTACCCTACCCTTACACTACCCTACCCTACCCTACCCTACAATCCCCTACCCTACCCTACCCTACCTTACCCTACCCTACCCTACCCTACACTACCCTACCCTACCCCTACACTACCCTACCCTACCCTTAACCCTACCCTACCCTACCCTACCCTACAATCCCCTACCCTACCCTACCCTACCCTTGCACTACCCTACCCTACCCCTACACTACCCTACCCTACCCTACAATCCCCTACCCTACCCTACCCTACCCTACAATCCCCTACCCTACCATACCCTTACACTACCCTACCCTACCCTACCCTACCCTACCCTACCCTTACACTACCCTACCCTACCCTACCTTTACACTACCCTACCCTACCCTACCATACACTACCCTACCATACACTACCCTACCAGTACCTTACACTACCACCGACAGTCCAAGTTTCAGCTAAATCGGCCCAGAAACGGCTGAGATATTGCAAAAACAAATTAATTGTATTTACTGGCGAATCCTCTTGGCGAGCAGTGCCCGGCGTCGGTATTCATTGCCAAAGGTCAACGACCTCCCGGCTCTGATGCTTTTCACTCAGTTTTAAGCGAACAACTGAACCTAAAGCACGTGCCTTCTGCTCGGCGCCGGTCGCGGCCCCACCACGTGCACACCGCTGAACCCACCCCCTCGAAAATTTAATACGACAAATTAGTGCACGCGACCGACTTGGCGTGAAAATTTCACCCCCGTAGCCCTTACCGTTTCCGAGCAATAGCCTGTTTTGCCGATTCTAATGCTAACCCTATGGCGCACATGAGCACGCGCCACGGGCGCACCCCCGACCGCATCGTGCCCAAAATTTAATACGACCTGTTGAATGACGTGACCCACGAGTCGTGAAAATTTCACCCTCCTGCGTCAATCGACGGCGCCTTAATAAGCCTTTTAGGGAGTAACCCCGACGGCGTGGGCGGATTTTCTAGGATTTATAATAGTAGACTAGAGGTACAGGTTTACGCGATAACTGTATGTTATGATATGTATGATTAACGGATGCATTACTTTGGTTGTAGAAACTTTCATTTTTATTGGTATTATTTGTGTAGAACTGGGTAACTGCTTTTAGTTGAACTGAGTGTAAAGTATGACGGTGATGCATGCGAGTTGTTCGAGCCCTTTGTAAGTTAGGATGTTACTCAATTCAACCCTACCCTACCCCTACCATACCCTACCATACCCTACCCTACCCTACCCCTACACTACCCTACCCTATCCTACCCTACCATACCCTATACCCTACCCTACCCTACCCTACCCTACTCCTACACTAACCTACCCTACCCTAACCTACACTACCCTACCCTACCCTATCCTACCCTACACTACCCTACCCCTACCCTACCCTACCCCTACACTACCCTACCCTACCCCTACCCTACCCTACCCTACCCTACCCTACACTACCCTACCCCTACACTACCCTACCCTACCCTACCCCTACACTACCCTACCCTACTCAGAATCCCCTACCCTACCCTAACCTACCCTGCCCTGCCCTACCCTACAATCCCCTACCCTACCCTACCCTACCCTACCCTACTACCCTACCCTACCCTACCCTACTACCCTACCCTACCCTACCCTACTACCTTACCCTACTCTACCCTACCCTACTACCCTACCCTACTACCCTACCCTACTACCCTACCCTACTCTACCCTACCTTACCCTTCCCTACCCTACCATACCCTACCCTACTACCCTAACCTACCCTACTATACCCTACCCTACCTAATTCTACCCTACCTAGCTCTACCCTACCCTACGCTACGCTACCCTACCCTACCCTACCTTACCCTACCCTACCCTACCCTACCCTAGTCCCTACCCTACCCTACCCTACTACCCTACCCTACCTTACCCTACCCTACCCTACCCTACCCTACCCTACCCTACACTACACTACCCTAACCTACCCTACCCTACCCTACCCTACCCTACCCTACCCTACCCTACCCTACCCTACCCTACCCTACCCTAACCTACCATACCCTACCCTACCCCTACCCTACCCTACCCTACCCTACCCTACCCTACCCTACCCTACCCCTACCCCTACACTACCCTACACTACACTACCCTACACTACCACCGACAGTCCAAGTTTCAGCTAAATCGGCCCAGAAACGGCTGAGATATTGCAAAAACAAATTTATTGTATTTACTGGCGAATCCCCTTGGCGAGCGGTGCCTTGTGTCGGCCTTCGTTGTCTGATTATTTTCACTCAGGTTTTTAAGCGAACAACTGAGACTAAAGCACGAGCGTTTGCTCGGCGCCGACCGCGGCCCCACCACGTGCACACCGCTGAACCCACACCGTCGAAAATTTAATACGACAAAGAGTGCACGCGATCGACTTGGCGTGAAAATTTCACCCCGTAGCCTTACCGTTCCCGAGCAATAGCCTGTTTTTGCCGATTCTAATGCTAACCCTATGGCACACATGAGCACGCGCCACGGGCGCACCCCCGGCCGCATCGTGCCCAAAATTAATACGACTGTTGAATGAACGGACCCACGAGTCGTGAAAATTCACCCTCCTGCAGGAGGGTGCAGCATGCATGCATGAATCGACGGCGCCGCAATAAGCGTTTTTGGGAGTAACCGGCGGGGACTTTTAAGATTTATATACTAGAGGTACAGGTTCACGCGATAACTGTATGTTTTGATATGTATGATTAACGGATTCATTAGTTTGGGGTGTAGAAAATGCATTTTTATGGTATTATTGTGTAGAACTG